CAGCATCTGTTTTTTTTTCATAAGATCACAATGCAATGTGGGTGTTTTCAAGGCAAGAGCGAATAAACTTTTGTTAACCTAAGTCAGTCTTCAGCTGCATCGCCACTTGGATCATATGGGATAGTAGTAAAACACTGGCTTAATAATAAATAGTTAAAAAATATAAATGGAACAACAAATTAATTATGAATATTTTTTTATGCTCAAGAACCGAGAAACGAGACTTTTATTTCCGTTTTTAAATAAATATGATTTAAATAAAATTCACATCTTTGATAAAATATATTGTTTTTTTAATTGTTTTTAAAAAACGTTACCACCACACTAGGATTTTCTCCTGTATCGTGGAGGCAGTTTACAAACATAAATTGCACGAGGACAAACAACCAGACCTGGAACAATTATTTGTAGGCCATACAAATACTTGTTCCGTGCGGGATTCGAACCCGCAGCCCCCAGCGCAACAACTCATTGCTAAGCCACTGCGCCACGGAGCCGTCAAATCAATATATGGAAATATCAATTTCATTACATTTTAGTACGTAGTCATAAATTGGGAAGAGTTTAAGGACAAGTAAATCTCTAACTGCTATTCAACAAAAGACGTACGAATGAGGTGATCATGTCAACTAGAACCCCCTTATTGTACCATTATGTCCAGTATGGTCAATTGAATAAAAGCCAGACACGGACAAGAGCTGTTAACCCCGAACTCATTCCAGCAAACGACCGGCAATGGCCTCGATTGGAGTGATGAATTATTTGTATGCGGCGACAAATTTAGCATTGTAATAAAAATCTTATATTCATCTGTCAGATATACATATTATAATTAAATGTAAGCGAGTTTTCATATTACTTACTATATTTCATTTGTCTGTCTTTTTTTGATTAAATCATAAAATTATTCGACAGTATTTCTGCAACCAAGCACTTGAGCATCCACTTTGAAGTACTTCAACATATTTATGGCTATATATATATATATATATCTTGCTAGTATTTAAAAAAATATTACGCTAAATTTACATGCGCAATTTCAAAACACGACATGCGGTTGGCAACTGCAGTGTTTTTTTAGTTGTTACTAAGAATACGCTGCTGCCCATCTCTTGGTTTGATATTTTTTTTTTAGGATCGGTTGACAAACGAGCACACAGTCCACCTGATGGTAAGTGGTTACTGCGACCCATAGACATCTACATATATCCTCAATAAAGACTCAAGATGCAGATGCGTTGTCACCCGTGAGGACTAAGATGGAATGCCTCTTTGCCAGTAAAAAGGGTCTCCGGTTCTCTACACTCACCATACGAAACACAGCAGCGTCTATTCTAAATGTAGACAATATGTTATCGAAATAAATTATTATTATTATTATTATTTTACGCTGGTTTTCTGTGAGAGCGTGGTCCTTCCCCGGTCGAGCCGACCCATTCGTGCTAAAACCATAATATAGCTACAGCATGGCTCTACCACGTAGAAAATTGATGATAATTAATAGAATCAGGCGTTACTTTGCGGAAGTCCATTATATTAAAGTTGGTAAAAATTACTTCGCGTAGATCCGCTCGATAAAATAAAATGATATGTCCTACCTAATTTGACTTAGCGGTTAGCCACCGCAAAGTCTAGATCACCTGAAGATGCCTCGTGTAGACGCGAAACACGTGTCTTATTATCGTCGGTGGTGTGTCTTTCCTAGTGTAGTGGTGTTGGGAGTAGTGGTGCTGGGATAAGTGGTGACAGTGATAGTGCACGCAATTGAGGGTGGGCAGGAGGTGCTCTTCAAACTAGGTAGGACACATCATTTTATTTTATCGAGCGGATGTACGCGAAGTAATTTTTTACCAACTTTAATATTAGTTCTTGTTTATTTTGATGACATAATTTGAATTCACACATTCTTTTTATTAGGTATATTTTTATATTATGTACACCTTTTTATTCAAGCTATTTTATAAAGCGCCGAAAATTCTTTATTACTAACACTTGTCGCATGATAAATAGTTGCTTCTAGAAAACTTTAATAATAAATTATGGCAGACGACCACATAGTGTGGTCTCTAACAATTATGTTAAAATAAACATGTCAATTTTTTATCCTTATGTCCCAGATTTGCTCATTTATTTTCAAAACTTAAATAAACAGTGTAATGTGGGTTCAGATTTCAATGTTACAAAAAACTTTTGAAACTCGACCCAAAAGTTTGTTAAAAGGATGACAATGCGTACATATTTTTTTCCTTCGGGCATGAATCACAAAATTATTAATGCTTCTCTTACAATTTTTTACTCTTTTTCGCGCGGCTTCGCACAAATGAATTGAACTTTAGAAATATCATAAGGTATTCTGTGTCAAATTAATCAAACCGGAACAGTTAAATATTATCTCGATGTCTATCTGTTTATTACAGACGTATTTCGCATAGAATATTCATTTCACATGAGCCATTTAAATTAGACACTTTTGCATTATTCAGTTACTCAAATGAAGAAGCATGGTTAAAAATAGGAATTGTTGACTTATGGGTTGTTAGTTTTAGGAAATTGAAAATTAGGAAATGCTTCGAAATTGCTGCTACATTGCTATAACAATTTAAGAAAGTAGAATATAAGTTTTTTTTTTAAGAATAATGGTGACAAAAAAAACACACTGATCATGTGATAGTTAAAGGATAATGTGGCTCATCGTCGTTTACATAAATCCTTGTTTAAGAATCAAAGTTCAGATGCGTTGCCATCCCTGTGAACTAAGATAACATGTCTCATTTCTAGTAAAAAACTATCTCCGGTTCTGTACCTTCAAGAAAAACATTAGGCTGCTATTTTATCTCGGTATTCTGTAGGAGCGTGGCCCTTCTCTGGTTGAGCCAACCCATTCGTGCTAGAACTATAATATAGCTGCAACATGGCTTTACCGCGTAAAAAAATTCATATTTTACTTACAAGTTATTTATTTTTTACATATTTTTTCTGCAGCACTTATAACAAAGAGGTGCATTTGGAATTATTTTGAACAACAATGAAGCAATTCCGGAAAGAGAAGTTTCTTTCTCATTAATCTAAAAAAGGAATCCACTTCCGTTGTAAAATTACAAAAGTTGTGTTGTATTCAGTCGACGCTTAGTTTGAATGCTTCAGTATTAAAAGTCTTTCAAGTGACTCATTGCATAAGAAGGTAGTTAGTTTTTTTTTTCTAAATCAGGTAATACAGAATTGAGATTTCTATATATTTGTAAAATACAGAAAATTGCCAAAAATTCGTGTTTATTTTCGATTTTCTTCGAAGTGTGTTCAATTTCAAATTTTTTTTATGTTCGATTTTCTTCACCACCAATCACGTGGTAAATCAGCTCTAAATAATTTAATAGGTAGCAAAAATGTTCCCTGCATAGTTATGAAAGTCGTATGTATGTAATAAAGACACAGAAATATATTTTAAAATTTAATAAAGTTAATTGTAACAAACTCAAAAAAAATTGCTTCATCCACTTTGTTTCGCATCGAAATCCCGTATCGTAATAATTTTAAATTAAAAATTTTGTACTGCTGACTTCAGTACTAGTTATTAAGAATAACTCAAAAACTATTGGTCTGACCTTGATCAAATTTATACGGGACCACACGAGGAGTACCAGCTTTCAAATAAAAGAGAATCATCGAAATCGGGTCACCCAGTAAAAAGTTATGAGGTAACACACATAAAAAAAACATACAGTCTAATTAAGAAGCGTCTCCTTTTTGGAAGTCGGCAGAAAACTAGGTTTAGTTACAATTGTATGAAATGTTTTTTTTTTATGACAAAGGTTTTAAGATCACTTTGCAAACAGTATACGACTGCGTTGTAACAAAATAACATTGATATATTAACATATAATATGTATTATAATGGTGCTAGTTATAGAATGTGTAAGACAACTTTTCCACAAATGCTTACTTCACCTTCACATATGGTGAAAACCTTTTCAATAACTTAGATGCCAAACTAGAGAAACAAATGATAACAAATAGTAATACCATTCAAAATTATCGGCTCTGCGTTGCAGTATATGGCTAAACATTCTAACGAAAAAGATACATATAAGCCGAGGTTTGTGTTTGTTGAAAGGCTTATTTGAAACAGTGGACTAAAAAAGACGTCGGTTTAGTAAAGTGACGTGATGTTAAGTACTAATCATTTACCATAATAATGTCTTAAGATGATTCTTTTTTTATAGAATAAGGGTGACAAACGAGCACACAGTTTACCTGATGGTAAGTGGATAATGTAGGCATATAATGTCTACATTTATTCTCAATTAGATAATGTTTACATTTATTCTCAATTAAGTATCAAGATACAGATGCTTTGTTTCCCCTGAGGACTGTGATAGAACGCCTTGTTTTCTGTGAAAAGGTTCTCCGGTCCTCTTCTTCATCAGTTACTTGCACAATTATTAGTGCTTGTCGCACAAATTTTTTCTGTAGTTATGTTCTGGTTGTGTACAAATCGGTCGGTACGACTGGGATAAGACTACGCTCTCACAGAATATCAGCGTAACATAGCAGCTTAATGCTGCTGTGTATTGTATTGTGAGTGTAGAGTACCGGAGACCCTTTCTACTGGAAAAGAAACATTCTATCTCAGTCCTTAGGGGTAACAACGGATATCTGAACTTAGATTTTTAATTAAGGATAAATTATAGATGTCTATGATACACAGCATCCACTTACCGTCAGGTGAGCTGTGTGCTCGTTTGTCACCTTTATTCTATAAAAAAGATTAACGATATTGATAATTATTTACATTCATTACATTCATGAAATGTGTCAGATTTTGCCGAGCGGTCATTTTGTGATAAAAAAATTACTGAAGCATGTTTTTACGTATTGTGCTTTAATTGCAATTTATTTTGTAATATTTCACAACACATTCCTAAATTTCAAATATCGCGATAAATTGTTGGAGATTATTTATTAACTAAGGTTTACATCTGCAGGTAAAACTACACTAAATGATGAGTCAGGCTGTGAGTTCGGCGAAGATCACGCTGTGGCTTTCCATTCTGCAAGGCTTTATATTTCTCGTCGGTACGTATTAGAATAACAATAGTACGTAAAACCCATCAGCAACATCTTCTTCAATCAATATAGCCCTTCAAAAATCCACTGCTGAACATAGGCCTCCCCCAAAGAATGCTACAAAGCACAGTCCTAAGCCACCTGCATCCATCGACTTCCTGCGTGTCCTACCAGGTCGTTACTCCATCCAGTGAGGGGTTGCCTCAGACGGCGCCTACAGATACGACGCTACCACTCGAGAAACTTTTCCCCGATCGATTGTCTGTTCTTCGAGCTATATGGCCGGCCCATGGCCACTTCAGCTTACTAATCCGTTGGGCTATGTCGGTTACTGTGGTTTCACTGCGGATATCTTTATTTCTAAGTGTATCACGCAGAAAACCACTAATCATAACCCTCTCAATAGCTCGATGAGCGATCTAGATCTTTCTTATAGAGCCAGCAGTGAAGAACCACGTCTCAGATCCATAATTCATCACTGGCAACATGCACTGGTTGTTAACTCGTCTTCAAGTTTTGAGGTATACCTGACGAGAAGATGTATCGTAATTTTCCGAACGCTGCTGCAATCGAGTTGAATCCCTCAATAGATCTCTCGGCCGAAGTTGGACTTTCCTAGTCGGACTATTTGTCCCAGATAAACATACTCGTCATCTACTTCGAGGATAATGCTCCCAACTACTACTGGCATAGGTATGATATGGACGTTACACATTATATTTATTTTATCCTTGTTTATTTTAAGACCTGTCCGTTAGGAGGTACTATTGAGGTCATTGAGCGCAGTGCTTAGGGCCGTCAGCGATTCTGCCTTAAGGGCTATATCGTCTGAAAATCGAAGGTGAGTGATGTACTCACCATTGCTAATACCGTATCCTTTACAGTCCATTAGCTTGCAAACGTCTTCCAATGCAGCGGTGAAGAGTTTCGGGGATATAACGTCACCCTGTCTTACACCTCTCTGCAGTTGGATAGGTTTGGTACTTTGGTCCTGTACTCGGATAGCTATCGTAGCCTTACTGTACAAATAATTCAGCACTCCGATATACCGCCGATCAATTTGGCATTGCTGAAGGGACTGCAGCATCGCCCAAATTTCGACGGAATCAAAGGATTTCTCATAGTTTACATAAGCAGGCGTACGATTGGAGTAAAAGCTATTACAGGAAGGCTAAGCTAAAGCTTAGCTACAGGAACATATTAATAAAATATATTGAAATATATTTTACTAATCTGTTCCTGTATGATATAACGATTTATAGAATTATTTACATTTAAAAAGAACTGCAAAGAATCATTTCTATTTTAATGATTAAGAGTGGTAAATTATTTTTAAAGGTGTTATAAAATATCAACCATGTTATTGCGAAATGTATTCATGTTCTATATTGTTTATAAACTAATGAACATACAGCTCGTTAGGAAGTAATCCGTGTATTTAAGGGACGTTTTAGGGACTGAACAACGTGACATCAAAGTTCGTAATATTAATTCGTTAATAAATATGCTATAATTAATAAAAAATATTTTTTGAAACTAAACTTTGCACATAGTTATATTAAGTTATACCTTCTATGTACAAAAAATACGCTACTCATCATATTAAATAGTATTATGATAATAAGAAATTTTAATATCTGCATAAAATAAATAACATAGACATTGTAGTGTTTTATACACAGGTTGCCTACAACTAACTTTACTAGAGTCTTTTACACAAGTACAACATGCAATATACTTGTACTACTTCTACTTCCCACAAAATATCACTGTGTTGAATGGTGCATTCAAACTGTGCTCTGACATTGTTTGTATATTTAGTTTGTTGTTGTTTAGTTTTTTAATATATTTTTATACGGCATATGGATTGAGTTGTTTGATATCTTGTTTAATTATTTAAAAGTCCGGATTACTTGAATAAAATATATTAGAATAATTTTAAATCAATAGAGATTACAATTTATTCCTATCGAAAGTTATTTTTTACTTTTAAAACTGGTGTGGATAAACCCCTGTCCCGAGAACAATCAGCAAGAAACCCAGCGGGACTTTTTTTTTCAAAGTATATTTCACACTAAGAACACAGGTAAAAACTACTTAAAAACTTATTTAAGAAACAGCTTGGAAGCGACTAGCTCATTCCCAGGGGTTATTTTCAACTATATATTCATTATATAAATGAATACATAGTTGAACATAACCCTTTTTATACAGTTTTTGTTTCATAAAAAATTTATGCTTAGTAAAATAGAGAAATTGTATATTTTCTGGGACTTTGTTGTAATAGCGTATGCATTGTCCATGAATAACTGACTATGGAGTAAAGAAACTAGTATCATTAAGGTGTATTTGTTCCTGGTGCTTAAAGAGTATATATCACTTTTATATGAAAACTATTTTAGTGTTCGAAATCGCGTATATTTGTGCTACTCCCCGTTGCTGTTCAGGGTATTCTACATGTAACGTTATAAACGATAAGCCTATACGGCCATCTATTGAAAACAATGAGTTATTACTGGCATGTCTCATGGTCACCTCTAAGTAAAATTAAATAAGTTAATGAATTTTACCCCATAGATGATGACTACTTCGTTATTATAATATATGTTTGTTACCCAAACTTGATTGATGTTATTTATGGCACTTTTTTACAGCTGATACAAGTACTGAAACACCGTCTGACAGTACTACTGTAGATATTTCATCTCGTCGCTTCCGGACAGAATTTCTACAAGAATGGCATGATTCAGCTGATGCACCCTATTTCGATCCTAGCACGCCTCGTAACATAACAGGTCTGGTTGGGCACCCCGTTCGGTTGTTATGCAGAGTTAAAAATTTACAAAACAGAACTGTAAGTATATATTTTTAAATTTATCTGTTCTAACGAAATTAGGTATATTACCACAATATTTATTTTTACGCTGTAACTCTCCTAAATTTACAAAAAATCACTTTAACCAATATATATCTTCTATTTTTCACAGAACAATGCATAATGTCATCGTCATATTTCCTATAAAATATTAAAATTGTAGAATCACCTTTGACGAAAATTCAACAGTTTGATTTTGGTTCTTTTGAGATTTATTCTATACAAAAGATATTATAAGATAATTTTCTATAGAAAAATCATGTGCGTTTATTTTCATGTTATTCACCTGACTTAACGTCGACATACACGCATTAATTTATTCTGCACTTCAATTGCACAGCATCTATCAAAGGGCGTAAAATTAATTTCCAGTTTTATAAATTAAAGTTGTAGCCTATAAAATGGTCTCCTATTATTTCTGAGAGGGATATGAAGAAAATAATTCACCGCAATGCTTCAGTGCGTGTTGCCGGACTTCACGTTTCTACGAAATATTTATAGAGGTTTAAGTATTCCTTCACCATGAGCACGTAGGGTACGTGTATAGGTGTCAGCATTACATTGCTACTAAAATGTACGAAAATTTACGATTTTCACTTAATAATAGTATAATAATCTATAACAATGACACGTTTTTGTAATAAAACGTAAATGTACATAATGTTTAACTGATCGATTTCAATTACGGCGACAACTTCCAAATAATTGCGGAAGCTATCAAGTCAACTGCATTGGAAAACTATAGTAGTACCATATATTTACTCACAGGTTCTGAAGCTTTTTTAAACTATTATAAGCCAATGCTTGATATGTAGGCATTACGAACGATGAAGCAAAACCGTTAGGTTCAAATGCGTGATATGTTGACAAAGGGTGAGGTCTGGCTGAGCGTCTGTATATTTGACGGTGCAATGTATAATACGAAGAACGTATAGATATAGTAGTACGTGTACGCTGTGCCAAAAAACAAACGGACTCTCACTACATACTGTCTAAACATTTTTATTTATTACTAGCTGTTCCCCGCGACTTCTTAATTTATGCGTGACGTTTTCATTTTGTTGCGCGGAACCCTAATTATTTTTCTAAAATATAAGTAGTCTAAGTTACTCCTTATAACATCAGCTATCTACCATCGAAAGTCAATGAATGCAATTAGTAAAAAGCTATTATTTTGACATTACAAACAGGCACTTCAATTTTATTTATTTTTATAGATAAAATTGAAGTGAGAAACGAAGCACAATCCACCTGACGATTAGGTGCTGCTGCAGTACATGGACACCTGCAGCTATCTTCTTACAAAGAACGCTAACAGATTAGTTGTCACCTCTGAGGAATAAAACGGAATGCCTTACAGCCTACAACTATACTGGTTCTCTATACCCTTCAGATCGAAACACAGTAGTTAAGGCACTGCTTGGCAGCAAAAATAGGCAAGAGACATGGTATATTAGTAGTATAGTTGTAGCACGAATGGGTCGGCTCAACCGGGGAAGGACCACGCTCTCACAGAATACCAGCGTAAAATAGCAGCTTAACGCTGCTGTGTTTCGTATGGTGAGTGTACAGAACCGGAGACCCATTTTACTGGAAAAGAGGCATTCCATCTTAGTCCTCACGGTTGACGACGCATCTGCATTTTGATAAATGTAGATGTCTATGGGTCACAGCAACCACTTACCATCAGGTGGACTGTGTGCTCGTTTGTCACCCAATCCTATAAAAAAAAGAGAATGTATCTAATCAGACGGACTCCTAGGCAGAAAAGGATTCTGACCTCCAGAAATATTATAGTATTACTAGATGCGGCTGTACTATGACCACATAATCCATTACCATATATTTTTTACAATAATTTAAAATTAAAAATTTTGTACAGCCGACTTCAATATAAGTTATTCAAGAATAACTCAAAAAATATTCATCTGACCTTGATAAAATTCATATGGGGCCACACGACAACTATCAGCTTTCATATAAAAAAAGAATCACCGAAATTGGTTAACCCAGTACAAAGTTACGAGGTAACACACATAAAAAAAAACATACAGTCGAATTGAGTACCGTCTCCTTTTTGGAAGTCGGCAGAAAACGCTACGTCTTGAACCCTATACCCATAGTATCTTTTATAAAAATTATATCATAATATCGATTACATCGCATTAAAATCTTTTGCTAACATCCTGATTAAAGTAGTAGTTATTTCGTAATGCATACATATCAAGTCATAAAAAGTCAATACTTATTTGAAAAGTTAAATTAATATATTAAAAGTTAAATAAAAAGATATTTACATCTTACTTGAGTTTATTGCAGGAACTCAAATTGAAATTTCAAAAAAAAAACACCGAAAAAAAAAAACAGCTGATGATAAAACTGCTGAACCGATTTTCATAAATCATGTTTAAGAACCACCTCTAGAAAACCTATTTTTAAATTAAAAAAACCGCACTCAAATCTGTTCACCGTTTACGAGCCACGGTGCCACAGACAGATACACAGACGGACAGACACACATAGCGGTCAAACTTATAGTACCCCTATTTTTTACGTCGGCGGTTAAAAATGACATAAAAAATAGAATTCACGCCTTTAATTTTTAAATGATTATCATTTTTGATAGAGTATGGAGTAGCTTAGTAAGTTAATAAATTTGGTTAAAGTACATACCACAATTATCACCAAAATTAATTCCACATGTATTAAAACTATTATAATACTGCAAATATTACGATGTTTGAAATATTATGTTCGTTTTTCATTTGATACACATTTTATTATTGAGCTTTTGCTGTTTTGGTATTTGCTACGTTTAGCCGTTTACTTAAATCGTATTCAGCAAGAATCCATTTTGCTAAGCAATATTTCACAGTCCATTGAAATTAAAGCATCTTTAGAGCTGCTAAATGGTCCAGTTTGTTAGTTAAGTGCTCCTCGCTTGAGACAGCAATTACACTTGGAGCAAAGCAAGTCGGTATTATTGTATCTCTTCATTTTGTTTTTACCGAATAAAGCGCCTGTTCTTCTAGTCTCAGTCACGTTTATATAGAAAAACAACCTACTTATTTTCCATGTAACACATTTTCACAAAAGTTGCATCTGTCTTCGAAATTTATCGTAAATAATGAATCTTTCTCTTTCATGGTTATTATTGTATACATATTATATACACAATATTTTATTAATTAAAAAAAAAATACTGACATACTTTTAATAAAAAATATTTTTCTAAACCATGATTATAAAACACTTTTTGTACAGTTTAGTGCAAATGGGTTTTGTATGCAATGACAATGTGTAGTTTAGATAAAAATAACACGAATTTCAATGAATGGTTGGTGATGTGATGTCATATTCCAAGATTACTTCACTAAAGTACTGTTTCACATATTAGTTTAATTGCATGTAACAGAATTTTGAAGTAGGATTATTTACCTTGATTTTTTTTTAATTTAAATATATATTTATCTAGACACTCAGTAGTGTGTCAGACAAGCTCAAAAAAGGGGCACGTACCAGCAGTGTAATTTGCCCGGATATATTTTTGTGAAAAAATATTCACCTAGGCACACGGCAGTTTAACAGACAAGTTACGAAAAGACTCACTAAATAAAAAGCTAGGCCAATACTTGGTTACTTGTAAACTTAGAATTAAGCGTCAAAGCCTTTTGATGAATCTGGTAAATCTGCAAAAGGGTAACTATCCTTATTTGGTGTCGAAAAAGTTATTGATGTAGTTAGTTCCAAGTACTGTATGTGAATTTAACTGCACCAATAACTGTCGGAATTTAATAAAAAACAGTGTAGCGTTAATAAAAAAGGTCGTTAATCTATACTATATATATGTCTAAAGGAATTAAACTGTATTTTTTTGTTTAATAATAATGCCCCACCAAAAACATAACAAATGTGTTAATGATGCTTGGGCTTCGCTGATAGAATTCAATTCTAAGAAGGTCGTACACTCCTATGATTTAATCAGCTGCTATTTTTAACTTTTCTTATGCAATTTTCGCTTAGAAAAGTTTACATATATTTCATGAAATTGTTGTGAAGTTTGAGTATCGCGTTATATACAAAAAATCATGAAACTAAAATAAATATAACATACTAGACGTAATGACTACTTGAGTAAAAAAGAAAAAGCCTATATGTCCCAGTACTAAGGACAAACTATCGCAGATTTCTGAGAAAGTTTCCGTTATGCTGCCTCAAATGCATGTTGGTGAACTACACTAGTCTTCGAAATGTTATCAACCGTTCAAACATGCAGGTTTCACTGCAATGTCGAACTGAATGTAAATCGCTTATAGGGTGCTTTCATTCACCGACAAGCTAATTTTAAATCAGCATTTAAAATTACTGTTCATAATTACATTGGTAACGTTGGGGATTAAAATCGCTTTGCTTGCGTAATGGCTCCATGTTCGAGCTCACTCTGTTCGCACAAACTACTAACAAAGTGAACGATTACTAACGTACCTGCTAGCTATTAACTAAAAGCGCTTCTGCAGTATAAGATAATTTTACCGTTCGGAATGTCAGGTCATCGTCGTGGCATGTCGTCAAAACACCTTCTCCGGAACCCAGGCGAGAGTATGTTCAAATTATATAACGCAAGTTCGTACACTATAATATGTTTCATATTTTATTCTATGCATCTCATAAAATGCTTAAAAATTTCAACAGGTTTCGTGGGTTCGACATCGTGACATTCATTTATTAACAGTTGGCCGATATACTTACACGTCAGATCAAAGATTTGAAGCACAGCATAAACCTCGATCTGAAGAGTGGGCTTTACGTATCCGAAGCCCGCAAAGACGAGACTCAGGCCAATATGAGTGTCAGATTTCAACTACTCCGCCCATAGGCCATGCTGTTTTTCTCAATATCGTAGGTGAGAATGAAACGGAAATACAATAATAATTATGCAATGAAATATTAATATTAGATACTCAGTGATTTTACTTTACTTTTTTATTTATAATATTATGAAATAACTGTAATATTAATTTACATATTTTTAGAACCCGAAACTACGATATCAAGTGGTGCTGAATTGTTTATACAAGCAGGATCGACAATCAACTTAACGTGTATAGTTAAACATACACCTGAACCTCCTTCTTCTATTACATGGACACATGGAGAACAGGTGATTTTGAATAAAATCAAATATCCATACTCTTACATACTTTATTCTTCTTAAACTTTTGATGATTCCGTAGCGCAGTGGCTAAGCTTTTGGTCGTGATGCTGAGGGCCATACGGAACAAGTCTTTGTATTGCCTACAATTAATAGATGAGTTGTGGTTCTGTATGTGTGTTGTTGTGCAATTTATGTATGTGAACCATCTATTCGAGACAGAAGTAAATTCTAATGTTCGAGCGTTTAAAAAAGATTTACAGACAGAATGAGCACCACAAACAGCAATACCTTTAAAATCCACTCACGTCTTGCGATGCGATCGCATCACAATAACAACAAAAATCACATTACTAGCTGTTTTGCAACGTTGTCGCTGCCCGTCGTAGGATTGATTATTTTACATCTGGCGTAAATGGTTATAGCGCCATCTATCTGAAGCCATGAATTATTTCTGGCATTCCCTTAATCTCGTCTTACAACACCCACTGGACGAAAAGGGGTGATCTATTTCCTTACATCGCCATAACTTGACCACTCAAATCATATTCACAGATATTTATTTTCTTGAAAAGCTGTAAGAAGTTGATAAGCATCTGTGAATACAGAATAAGGAAAATAAAATATATCTCAGAGAGGAATCAGTTCTTGAAAATGCGGAATGTATTTCGAGGCCATTAGCGAAACGATGAAGTGGCTGTGCCAGAAGATTTACGTACCTACTTGGCTACGATCCGGGAAAAATACAGCTGTCTGCATACAACTTTTATATAAAGTAACAAGTATGCGATCCGTGGCTATTGTGGAAAAATGAAAGAATATAGTTTTAAAAAACTATGAGCTGTTGGAACTCTCCTAAATAAACAATTATTTTAAATGAAAGTTGGCACACATGTAGACCATATTATCGTGTATTAAATTATGGGTAACTTTAAAAATGTACCTTAAGGCGGTGTCGAATAATATTCTTATATATTATAAATAGTTTTTACTACGTATTGACTTTTTATCAAGAATGTCGTTTTGGTTACGGAAACGTAAATTTTTCTCTACATAAAATTTACATCTACTTTTCTGTGCTTGTGTATTATGTATTAAGCGTACCTTTATGTGTTTAATAAAACTTTGAGCCTATTAAAACAGTATTGAGTATATTCCCACAGGTTATCAATTTTGACTCCGCTAGGGGTGGAATATCATTAGTAACAGAAAAAGGCCTCCGAAGTACTAGTCGCTTGTTAATTCAACAAGCAAGAGGTGCCGATGCCGGTATTTACACTTGTGGACCCAACAACGCCCCATCCGCATCAACAAGAGTTCATGTGCTCTCCGGTAAGAGGTTAATATTATTATTTTTAACTAATTTAGATTTCTTTTTTAATTTATTGTAGCATTGGCTGCAAACACTTCATAAACCAAGAAATAAACACTGGCATAATGTGTTATACAACATATAAATATGTTGACGAATTTCTTCACAATATTATGTTGATGAATCATATTACTAAAATTGTTGAGGGTTGTGACGGCAGTTTTAAACAGCAGATAGTCGAGGACGATTGTATCTCAAGGCGTCTAAGAAGACAAAATAGTTTAAGGTTTTATCAACACGAGCCTGGGGCACGTGTTTCATCGTCTATAACTAATAGTTCACATACATAGACATTGAATACACAAAGTGCACCTATTTTCCATAACAAAATCCATTTCAAAATATTATTTGAACAAAAAAACGGAGCAGAAATCCTCTGTTGGTCAAATTTACGACAAGAAACCTTATTAAGCAAAGAAAAATAAACAGTACAAATGCCTCACTTGCGTAGGCCATCACGGTAATATCTGATCATGGAGAAGATGTCGTCGAAAGCATCTTTTTTATACAAGTAAGGGTGAAAACCGAGCACACTATCTAATATTAAAGTTAAGTCGTTAGTAATTATGAAACAGAAACAAACACTTTTTTATTCAATATAGATTATAAATAATATTTATTAAAAGTCACTCTGTTGTATATTTATAGATATTAATAAGTATGTATGTATTTATCTTATCTATGTACTTATATACCATTCTATATTTTTATTTTATAGCTTTAAAAAAATAATGTTATTTTTGTCGCCAAACCACACACATATTTATTGTTTTCTTGCAATCCCGTACATCCAAAGGTTGTCTGGAAGAGATCGCTCTTAGTGATAAGACCGCCCATTGTACCTCATTTCTTTTTCTTATTTTTTTTGTTAATATTTATGTTATTTTTGGTGTACGATAAAGTGTTATCTATCTATCATCTACCTATCTCTTTTGTTTAATTACTACTGGTTCGAAAAAAAGCCTCTGTCCTGGGAAGAACCAGCAAGAAACCCAGCGAGACTTTTTTAATGACAGCTTACAATCATGTATGTTACACAACTAACCACACAAAACAAATTAGAAATAGCTTGGTAGCGATCACCTCATTCCTATTCCTTAATATTATAATAGCCCTTTTTATACAAACTATGTTTAGTAAAGTTTTTGAACTTTGGGAGGTTAAAATTTTGTATATTTTCTGGGATTTTGTTGTAAAAGCGTATGGCCCCAAGAATGAATTACTGACTCCAGTAACTGGTACTACTAGCTTGTGTCTGTTACTAGTGTTTACAGAATGAATATCACTTATTTTGTATAACTACTTTTATTTTTGTGTACGTTCATTACATTTTCATAAATGTATTCAGAGCCTCAAGTTAATATATTGATTTCCTTAATTTTTTTGTCGGAGCGACTCTTTAGTTTTTATATCATAGATTTCTCATATGGCCCTCTTCTGTAAAACAAATATAGGTTCATTGTCAGTCGTGTGTCCCCATAACAAAATACCATACCATTATGCTATGGAAATAGCTAAAGTAAACAAGTCTAGCTGTTTCCACACTGATAAGATTTCTATTTTTTTTTCAGCATATGCTGCAGAACTAAGTCTGCTTGCTATTTTTTATATATGGGAGCTCCATTGAAACTTCTAGTCTAGTGTTATTTCAAGAAAAATTGTGTTGTCGACAAGACTCAGTTTTTTCCCATTAATAATTACATTAGTATTTAATTTTTTGACATTTGGAGTCAGGAATTTCATACACATCGTTTGAGTACCATTTAAATTCACGTTAATAACATAAATTCAATTTACTAATTTAGATATAGCATTATTTACTTCGTCATATTTTAATAATTGTCGCTTTAATTTGAAAATTAATGAGGTGTCGTCAGCAAATAATACTATATTATAGTTATCCCCTACTATGTAAGGTAAGTCAATATATACGAGAAACAGAAAGGAGCCGAAAATTGAGCCTCGCGGCACGCCCATTTATACTATCGACCCGGAAGAGCTCATACTATTAATGACAACTTTTTGCGTTCTGTTATTTAAATATGAAACAATTAATTAAAAATATTTTTTTTATTATATCTTAATCTAGTACTTGACTCTGTAGACCACACTACTTATTTGTTAAATAATGTTATTAAGATGGCACTAGTCCAAGGAGAGTGACGGTTAATGCGCCTTGTAAAGTTAAAGCTACAAAACAATCCACTGCTGAGCTCAGCTTATTGTAATTACTGGAGGGTTATGGAGCGATTTCTACTTGATCAGCTCCGGTAGCTGTGGGTGCACGTCACATGATGGTTTTGAAATATACATATATAAAATATATGTACAAGACCAGCTCACCAATCCTGGGGCAGCATACACATATTTTAATAGTTTCATATTATTTTACTGATGTCGTTTCGAAACAATGTAAGTAAAGGTAGTTAATTATGTGGTTTTTAGTTTATAAAGTTTTTATAGATTAACATAACTATATTATATTCATAACAATTACAGTAAGAAGATCTTTTGTAATGCTTTAGGTGAACACCCAGCAGCAATGCAACAAGGCTCCGCAAAATGTTCCCTGGATAAAATTGTAATAATATTTTATTTTTCTTCAACGTTATACGTAATAAGGTCATTCAATATCATGACATTTGGCACTTGAATATCTTTCAAGATCACAAATTGGCATCTTTCCACGTTTTATGATTAAGCTATTAGAATGTTGATCGATTATTTAGATGTAAAGAATAATCTTTTAAGGCGTCGAAAATTAAGAATCTGTTATAATTTATTAAATAATATAATATATATGTCATGAATCTCTAGCATTTGTTGCAAAATTGTATAAGGTTTAATCACTTTTACAAAATATTATTTCATTTTGACTGTTATTAGAATAAGTAATATATAAAATCTAAGGTTATATTGACCTTACGGTGACTACTACTATATTATTATGTTTAAAATTCATCGAAAATTCACTTGGTATTTGTATTCTATCTGTCTATTTATTTCTTTAAATTTGTGTATTAATAAAGCACTTAATACAAAAAGTTTTATAAATATTAATTTTGGAAATAATTTTTCAGTAATGTATATACTTATTTAAATTTAAAAAAAATGTATGAATTCGATTGAATTTATTGAATTGTTTTTCAATTATTTCGTATTTTTACTGATAATATTGTTGAGATCAATCATCATCTGTCATTTCCCATAGTCATCTATCTCATAAGACCTGCGGATCTGAAAGCGGTAATATATTCTCTGACGCTGCTATCACACAGGTACATAATCTTTTGACGCATGGGTGTCGTAAGAGGCGATAGAAAGAAACAAACAAGAAAATGGGTACATAACAGCGTCTTTCTAATAACTAGAAAATAAAAAAAAACTGCAGTTGTCACTGAAGAAAAATCACCCGATAACGTAAGGGAAGGGAGGCATGTGTTCAATGTTGGCTGTAATTATGAAGAGGAAGGTATATAAATAAATAAAAAACAACTTGAGCATAATTCACATATTATGCTAAAAATACGTTTTCACCTCTGAGAACTAAGGAGCCTCAGAGCCTGTTATTACACTGACTCTCTTTACTTTTAAGCGTAGAACAAAGCAGTGCAGGCACTGTTATTGAGGGCTAATAACTTTCTGCTTACCAGATGTCGCTAGTTGACACTGAGGAAAAGTTTTTTTGTTACACGATGTAATTTGATGTCGTATTCGTTACGTTGGGAAGTACTGTCAAAGGTAATAAACTTGATCCTGCTATTCCCAATCTGGCTGTTATTGCATTTTAACTAATTCCCTCTACGGTATAAAAGCTCATGTCCAATATTATGTGTGTATTATGAATCGATATTTTAGGCTCGAAATCTTCTACGCATATATTATTATATAAAAGAGGATTTCCTGAGTAACTTACTCATCTACTACGCACAGCCCAAACGTAGTCCAAAAGTAGCTGCCTTTTATAACTAAGGCTACTATCCACTAAGAAAGAATTCAACGCCTAATGCTGGGGCCACAGTAACGAGAAACGTCAATGCCCAAAAACGCAACAATTATTGCCTTAATTTTAACGCGATAAACTGAGTGGCCACACTTGGGTCGGTCAACGTCATTTTAACTTCAATGCCGTTGAACGGCGTTAAAGTAAACTCACCATTTATTTATTAACTCAAAACGGGACATGGGTTTATTTTATACTCCACGGTTAGCAGGTTAATAATAAAAAAAAAAATGTTATTTATTTAATAACTGTAACTTTATACAATTAGTGTTCACTATAATTATAATCGCATTAATTATAATTATTTTTATTTTAACAAATTGTGAAAAATAAAATTAATCACCAGTTCACCAGCTTCCTTAAAGCAAAGTTCCTCAGAGAGTAATTATTAAATGCCACATATTTTTTAATTATATTTATATTTGTCAGTGGAATAAATTTGCTTTAATAAAGTTGGTGATGATTTTAAATAAGAGCAAGTTTTTTTTACATTGATTTTTGTTATCAACATCGCCTTTAGAACTAGAACCTGTAAGTGATTTTTTTTTCAGACGTCCACAATTTATTCATAATAGAAAAATACTTTTTCTACTGGAGCATTTGTACCAGGTATACATAAAATATAGGTATTCGATTAAAATGCAAGAGAATTTATGTTGAGAATGTTGGTGAGAAATGTTTGAATCACCCAACGAATTTCTGCGAAAACTTTGAAATTATCCCATTCGGTTATTTTTTGGTCGGTCCCGCTCTCGCACAGTTAGAGTCTGACGAACTTCATAGTTTTAAATTTTCTCGCGGTTTAGGACAACGGGACTATTTTGCGTCCCGGAGATTTGTTTAGGGACAACGGGACAGTTGACCGAGAAAAGGGACAGTCCCGTTCAAAACGGGGCGTATGGTCACTTTACGTTAATATTCCTTGAATTTCAAGCAAGATGAATGTTGACGCTGCTACACTATGTGTGATGAGTGTAAATTTTTATTATATGAATATATTTTACCATTGCCTAAGCATGGCTCTGTTTGCAGAATCTCATGAAACGTAATAACTTTTTCTTTATTCCACTCTATCGTAGCCATACGTGCGACTCCGTTGCGCTCACCGTGCACAATGAGACAAACGTAGTGTGGCCGCTTCAACGCGTTAATCTCTTTGATGTACCGACACTCGAGTTATCGTTCAACGGGAAACGGCATTGTTCTTGCCGTTGTAGAATTATCGCGTTAAGTGGTGGCCACACCTACATTCAACGCCCATCAACGCGATAATCAACGGCATTTCTCGTTAGTGTAGCCCGGGCATAAGGGAATGAAATAAGGTGTTACAATTTGTATGAAACTTTTTATTTCACGGGGCGATTAAATTGAAACTTGCTAAAGTATTTTGTAAAAAAATATTCGGATGCATTCGGCTTTAGCGATTTTTTCAAAAAAAAACCTTACACTTAAAAAAATTAATCTATGTTTTTTTTGTTTAATAATTGGCCCATATGGTATGGAATTAAAAATAATGAAATTCACATTTTAATTTCTTCAAAATCAACAGTAACGCTTAAAACGAGGGTGTTAAGTTTGTATGAAAAATATTATAGGTACTGCCCAAATAGCTAGACGTAGTAATTTGAAATTCGGACAATAGCTGCCTTTTATGACGCTTAAGGGGTCTACTAAGAAAAAATTTTTGAAAATTAATTTCGTCATCGTCATTCATCATTCCTCATTACAGCCCTTCACAAGTTCACTGCTAAACATAGACCTCTCACAAGAAATGCCACAAAGCACTACACCAAGCCACCTGCATCCATGGACTTCCTGCATGTATTACCAGGTCGTCACTCCATCTAGTGGGGGGATGCCCTACACTTCAACTGCCGTTATGAGGCTGACACTCGAGAACCTTTCTTCCCCATCGATTGTCGGTTCTTCGAGCTATATGGCCGTCCCATTATCACTTCAGCTTACTAATCCGTTGGGCTATGTCGGTTTCTCTATTACAGAAATATCCACGTTTTTAAGTCTATCATGCAGAAAACCCCGAGCATAGCCCTCTCCATAGATCGATGAGTGACCTTGAGCTTCTTCATACGGCCAGCAGTTAAGGACCACGCCTCAGATCCATAGGCCATCACTGGCAACACGCACTGGTTGAACAATCTTGTTTTTAGGTTTTGAGGTATGTCTGACGAGAAGATGTGTCGTAATCTCCCGAACGCTGCCCATCGAAGTTGAATCCATCGATTGACCTCTTGGTCAAAGTTGGACTTACCCAGTCGGACTACTTGTCAACAACTTCTAGCTCAATGCTTCCAACAACTACCGGCATAGGTGTGACATGGACGTTACACATAACTTTTGTTGTGTCCATGTTCATCTTAATACCTATCCGTTCGGAGACAATATTGAGGTCATTGAGCATAGTACTTAGGTGCCCCACCAATTCTGCCATAATGACTATATCGTCGGCAAATCGAAATCGTCATTGATGTTCATACCGTATCCTTTCCAGTCCAGACGCTTGAAAACGTCTTCCAATGCAGCGGTGAAGAGTTTCGGGGATATAACATCACTCTGTCTTACACATCTCTGCAATTGGATAGGTTTTGTACACTGGTTCTGTACTCGGATAGCCATCGTAGCTCTACTGTATAAACACTTCAGCACTTCGATATACCGACAGTCAACTTGGCACTGCTGAAGGGACTGCAGCACCGCCCTTTCCAGTACAGTGGATTGAAAACGCGTTTCGGGGATATAACGTCACCCTGTCTTACACCTCTCTGTAGTTAGATAAGTTTCCTACTCTGGTTCTGTAATCTGGACTGCAGCATCGCCCAAATTTCGACGGAATTAAAGGCTTTTTCATAGTTCACATACGCAAGGAATAGTGGCAAATTGTACTCCTAGGTCTACTATACAATTTGTTTAAGGGTATGTATGTGGTCTATAGTACTAAAATCTTTTCGGAAATCGGCTTCTTCCGGAGACTGGAAGTCAATGAGTCTGCGTAGGTAACGATTTGTAATGAATCTCGAACACAGCACGTAGACGTAGCTCAGAAGGGATAACGGCCTATAGTTCTTCAAGAGAACATAGTCGCCTTAATTGAAGAACAAGACCACCGCACTATTGTTCCACGCCTTTGGAGTAGTGCCACCATGGAGGACGGAACTATAGAGCTTCTGATGGACTTCAAGTACCAGTTTTCCACCCGCCTTCAGAAGCTCACGCTCTGCCAATAAGCAGGCTATTACTATATTTCTTTCTATAGTGATATTGGGCGATCAATTTCACTGTAACGTTTCATACCAGTGGTTGGAAAAAACTGCAAAAGTTGTTGGTATTACAAAAGATTTGCGTACGGTGCGGACGATGCGTACGGTGCGGACAAATGTGCGTTCAGCTTTGGACGCCGGTAACGTCACCGGGCTAAAAGCTATTTTAAATTAATATTCTTCGTATATATAATTCATCGGTTCGTGTGTTTGTCACTGAACTCCTCCTAAACGGCTGGACTGATTTTGATAAAAATTGTGTGTATTTGAGTCGGTCCATAGATGGCATAAATTCACACTTGAACGCGGTAGGTGGTGCTGTTATAGATATCCAGTGATCCCCATATCATATATAATACTAGTACTACTTTGTAA